ATTTTACAATTAAAAAAATTGTTCTTTCATATTCTGTTTTAACACTTTTTTTATTTTACAAATAAAGCTCACAAGTAGAAATGGGACGAAGTCATATCTATAAATCCCAAGTTACTAAAAACTTTTATCCTTCCATCCAACCAAGTACTAACCTTAACAGCAATTTCATTGATCTTTTCTATTGCCAAATTTGTAGCACGTCGAAAAGCTCTGATAATAGCATGTGGGTGGACGCCCTCCTCAATTAAGGTTTTTGCACTGTTCCAAGAACTGCCCAGCCAGCAACACAACAGTAGTAGTGCCATCCCCAACCTGAAAAAAAATTATTTCAATATCAGCAACCCATATGAGGTACAGGTACAACAACAAAGTATATACAGTGCTATGTTAGTTTCATGCCAAAATTTACACCAGTTATCCTCACACCATCTTCTCAGCCATCTGCATTATTTTCACTAAAGCTCTACAGTTTCTATAACTCAAAGTTCTTCTGAGTCACCACCATCACTCAAGCATTTTACACTTCATCTCTCCAGCATACAGAGGTAAGCAAAATTACTGTAAATTATATAGGGTACTATAAAATTACTGCACAGTATAATACTGTACTATAGTACTACAGGTTACAATACCCATATTCTTATTGTTTGGTCATCTCCATTAGAAGACCAAGTCCGCTACTTCAGAAGACAACCAGATATACCTATACCTTTGATATACTTTAACGAGTTTCAAATCTTACTACTCTCGGAACTTGGCCATGGCCAGGCTTGTCCGAATGATCAATAAGTATTACTTTCATAGTTTGGGATTACAGACAATTGGCATTATCATACACCCCCTCCCCCATTAGTCCGTTAACGAGAGGTTTTTACTGTATTACTGGAAGTATCAGAACTTTAAATTCCTATCTAGTGGAGTTTAACTGAATTTCCTTAACCCCACAAAGGATATTGCATTAAAATAATTGTCTGTACTATACTTTATATTGTGAATATAATATGCAATAGCAATAAAAAATCCTCACCTCAGCATCCTGAGATTTTGCAATATCTACTAAAATTTTTGCTGCAGGATGAACAATATCTAACTGCTTCATTATTGTTGCTCCATCATTGCTGATTGTTGCTTGTCCCTGGTGAAAAAACATCGATATAAATTCCATGTTACCATAAAAAATGTGTGGTTTTTATTTTTTAATATTCAAACTTTTACAGAAAAATATTCTAAATTAAACAAAAATTAATAGCAATACTGCTTCATGAAAATGTTTTTTTTTAATTCAATTTGGTACCATCTAGTACTATAGTGGATAATAAGTAACACAAGAAGGGGCATGTAGGAATAAACCAAATATGAAGTGCTACATGTAATGTACAAGTCAGGAAATTATTTAAAATATTTTTAAGATTTCTGCAGGATATTTAAAAAAAAAAAAAAAAAAAGTATGGAGGATAACTGCAAGATCTACCTTATAACAGTAGTTTATTGTATAAAAGTTCATGACTGCATGACGCATACCTTGGTATCAACAATGAGTTTGTCCATACCACGTGGCCCAAGAGTAGTCCGGATGGCATCGACAACAGCTGCACAAGCATTGATGTTCGAGATTAACTGTGGTTTGCCTTGGGAGGAGTCTGTCCCCTCTTTCATTAATATAATCTGGGGTTGCTGTAAATAAAAATATCCAGGTATCCAAGATCAATGCAATTATAGGCACATTACATAAAAAACAGCTAAACTTAATAGAAGCTGGAAACGAAATTTTTTACATGAACTTGTAACAAAATTGTTTTGGCTCCAAGTGATAATTTACATACAAGAAGATTTTTCTAATGAAATAGTGTACTGTATACTACAGTATAATGCATTATTAATTAATATTTTTTTAACAGCCATCTCACACCTAGGTAGGGCAGCTCAACACGAAGGAAAACACTTTCCCTGTGTGAAACCGACAGTGCACTCAGCTCTCACACCATGTGTCCGTGGTTCAATCCCTGATATGTCAAGTAAGAGGGTGTTACTTGACTGTTGTGGGTCACATCTTGGGGACAAAATTAAAGGACCTCAAAAGAAATAAGATAGACAGTCCCAGGGATGATGATGCACTAACTTTAATGGCTTATCCTGGATGACAAACTCTCCAGGTTAAAAATCCAAACAAAATCTTATCTCTTCCTTCAATCACTGTTTTGCCAAAACCCCCAACATCCCCATTTCTCCTTCAGAGTGCAGGCACTGTACCTCCAACCTTCCAGCCTCAAGCCCAGCAAAGTGGTTTCTCTGAATTTCTTCATAAATGTTACCTTGCTCACACTCTAATAGCCCATTAGATCATAAAAACTACTTGTCTCCATTCACTCCTATCTAACATATTCACAAAAGCCTGTTGGATGTCCAAGCCTCTAACACTCAAAAATAAAAAAAAAATAAAGTATCTTCCACATTCTCAGGTCCAATATGAATGGCTGGGAACCCAGGAATATTAAATTCAGCAGTTAAATGCTGCTCTAACCAAGTTTAGCAGCTGGAATGAGTATACAATACTGTACACATTTAACCCTTTCAGGGTCGACAGGCCCTCTCAGAGACTTGTTCTCAGGGTCGGCCAAATTTCAAAAAAAAAAAAAAAATTATTTTTCTTATGAAAAGATAGAGAATCTTTTCCCGATCATAATGACACCAAAAGTATGAAATTTGATGGAAAACTTACGGAATTATGCTCTCGCGAAGTTAGCAGTCTCGACGATGTTTACGCATCGGCGATCTTTGCCCACTTTGAGCCCTATTTTCGGCCAATTCCAGAGTACTTGTCGACAAAAATCATAACTATTTCACTAAACTCCATTTTTTTCTATCGAATGAGCACAAGAAACCACCCATTTACCGATTTCAACTATCCAATACAGTGGTCAGAATTTAGCAATTTTGCCAATTTCACACAAATTTCAAAAGATGCCAATTTTCGAATAGGGTCCAGAATAAACAAGAAAGACATTCCTGGCACTAAAATAACATTTCCTCTGTTCATCAGTCATGTCCCCATGCCCCTCTTACATTCTTTTGCTTTCCACTTTGAATTTTTATTCTCACAAATAAATAGAAGATTTACTGTTATGTAGCCTACTGCATTGGTGTAGAAATGGTATAAATAATATCAGCGCACTTGTGAAAGAATATTAGACTTACCAGTTGACGTGTATTGGACGCATAGCATGATTTGTTTACTTTTGAACTTTGGTAAAAATAAAAAAATTTTGCTAATTTGATCGCAATTTCAAGGTAGTTTCCTTTGTAAAACCAGTCAAAATCATCTCAACTTCTGTAATATGTCTTCCATTCTATAAAATGAGACCAGGAAAACTAGAATACAATAATAAATACCATACGAAATACAGTGCAAAGTCGCTGGTTTTAATCCAAAAACACGGTCAAAGTTTTTTTTTCTCATTACGCACTGTGTGCTGCAGGATTTTTTTAGACCGCGCACACTGACCACATAGACCAATTCTTTCATATGTAGGCCTACCAGCTTTCTCTCACTAGATTTGAGGGCACTAGAATTTAGGCATACTAGTACGTCAAAAACCCTGGTGCGTAAGCCGTACTAGTACGGCCGAAACCCTGAAAGGGTTAATGATTCCAGCAGTGCAATAACACTGTATTCACTTTAAGATCTATTATTATAGATGATTACTATACAAATATACTGCTGTTTAGCAAGATTTTGATCAGCAGGGTAATGACATAAGAACAGTGGAGCATTGCAGGCCTACTAGCCCATGTTGGACAAGTTTAACTTGTACCCAACCACACCTACTCATGTACCAGTTCAGCCTATTATAATTACCCAAAGTTCTTGCTTCAGTGACATTACTTAGGAGTTTGTTCCACTTATCTTCAACTCAATAATCAAACCAGTGTTTTCCTATACAGTAGGGGGCCCCCCTTATATGGCAGGTTAGGTTCCAGGCTACTGCCAGAAAGCAGAACACCATTTTTTTTCCACTTATAAATTTTTATACTGTAAATGCCAGATAACAATTTTACACTAACATATATTAAGTTAGAAACAGAACTAGGCATTAAAAACAATAAAAAGTAAAACACACACACACACACACACACACACACACACACACACACACACACACACACACACACACACACACACACACAACTATAGACCTGTGTCATTGACGTGTATAGTATGCAAAATTATGGAGAAGATTATCAGGAGGAGAGTGGTGGAGCACCTGGAACGGAACAGGAGTATAAATGCCAACCAGCACGGATTCACGGAAGGCAAATCCTGTGTCACAAACCTTCTGGAGTTTTATGATAAAATAACAGAAGTAAGACAAGAGAGAGAGGGGTGGGTTGATTGCATCTTCTTGGACTGCAAGAAGGCCTTTGACACAGTTCCTCACAAGAGATTAGTGCAGAAGCTAGAGCATCAGGCGCATATAACAGGAAGGGCACTGCAATGGATCAGAGAATACCTGACAGGGAGGCAACAACGAGTCATGGTACGTAATGATGTATCACAGTGGGCACCTGTGACGAGCGGGGTCCCACAGGGGTCGGTCCTAGGACCAGTGCTATTTTTGGTATATGTGAACGACATGACGGAAGGGTTAGACTCAGAAGTGTCCCTGTTTGCAGATGATGTGAAGTTAATGTGGAGAATTAAATCTGATGAGGACCAGGCAGGACTTCAAAGAGACCTGGACAGACTGGACACCTGGTCCAGCAAATGGCTTCTCGAATTTAATCCTGCCAAATGCAAAGTCATGAAGATAGGGAAGGGCACAGAAGACCACAGACAGAGTATAGGCTAGGTGGCCAAAGACTGCAAACCTCACTCAAGGAGAAAGATCTTGGGGTGAGTATAACACCGAGCATGTCTCCGGAAGCACACATCAATCAGATAACTGCTGCAGCATATGGGCGCCTGGCAAACCTGAGAACAGCATTCCGACACCTTAGTAAGGAATCATTCAAGACACTGTACACCGTGTATGTCAGGCCCATACTGGAGTATGCAGCACCTGTTTGGAACCCGCACTTGATAAAGCACGTCAAGAAACTAGAGAAAGTACAAAGGTTTGAAACAAGGTTAGTTCCAGAGCTAAGGGGAATGTCCTATGAAGAAAGATTAAGGGAAATCGGCCTGACGACACCGGAGGACAGGAGGGTCAGGGGAGACATGATAACGACATATAAAATACTGCGTGGAATAGACAAGGTGACAAGACAGGATGTTCCAGGGAGGGGACACAGAAACAAGAGGCCACAATTGGAAGTTGAAGACACAAATGAGTCAGAGAGATAGTAGGAAGTATTTCTTCAGTCATAGAGTTGTAAGGCAGTGGAATAGCCTAGAAAATGACGTAGTGGAGGCAGGAACCATACACAGTTTTAAGACGAGGTTTGATAAAGCTCATGGAGCGGGGAGAGAGAGGGTCTAGTAGCAAACCGGTGAAGAGGCGGGGCCAGGAGCTAGGACTCGACCCCTGCAACCACAAATAGGTGAGTACAAATAGGTGAGTACACACACACACACACACACACACACACACACACACAACACACACACACACACACACACACACACACACACACACACACACACACACACACATTATTTACCTTAATATATTTGTAGTCTTAAATGTAGGGTGAGAGGCAAGTTTTATTTGTAGGAAGTCAGGCTTGGGATGTATGGTAGCCAGCCAGAGCAGCCCTCACTACCCCACCCCACCCACACGTAATGTAAACAAACCAGGTGAACGAGTCTAGTTTTCATCACTTTGCATTGTGTACAAGTTGTCTCCACATTGATATAGTAGAATAAATAAAGAGAAACACTCCCATTCTCATGTAACACCATTTTTAGAAGAAATGACACTGAGCGAAGGCATACACGAAAGGAATAATTTTCTAGTTACCCCCAGTAATATTATAGTGTACACATTTTCTCTGATGTTGGACTACAAGTCGCCTGGCTACCACATCTCATATTTATGTTAATTTATTCTACTGTGGGGTGTATTTATCATGTTTATGTGTTACGCAGCGTGTTTATTACATAATTCTGGAAAAAATATCATAGATGGATTAAAGGAAATGTCTACATTAACGTAATATATGGTATTTAATGCTCCCAAGAGATTACATATTATTAATATGGTGTCAAGTGTACAGAGACTCTTAGTGATTTTAATGTGTACCTGCATGCCGGCACTGTATAAGTATATTTAAGTACAGGTACACACAAGTATAATTATCAGAGTATATATAAAATACACAATAACTTTAAAACACTTAAAACTTTGGAAAAATTTCCAGAAATAATAGAGATGTGGGGTGCACCATATTTGAAAGACAGCTCACCGTATAGCAAATTTTGGTCGTAATTTGAAATCGCCATATTAGCAGAACACCATAAGGCAAAAACGCCATAAAATGGGGCCCTACTGTATAGTGTATATCCTTCTTGAATCTAAATTTGTCTAATCGATTCATGGAAGTCTTGTTTCAGTTGGATACTTTCAGCAATTTTCCATATATACACCTCAATTGTATACCTACTAATTCTATATCTTTTCAGAGAAAATTCAGTGCCTTCAGCCTATCTTCACAGGAACATTTTTGATACAGGGATC